TTCTAATAACTCCCCTGTCACCAAGGATAGACTAACTGGCCTATAAGTTCCTGGTCTATCCCTTCTTGCCTTTTTGAATAGTGAGAAGTGTTAGCAGTTCTCCAGTCATCTGGCACATCACCTGTGGCCAGAGAAGATTTGAAAATTATTGCCAGGGTTCCTTATATCTGCTTCCTTGTGTCCGTCAACAGGGACCAAAGGCAGAGATACATCTCATCCAGGAGAGATCTACTTTTAATGCCCCTAAATCCATTAATATCTTCTTTCTCTCTAAGTTAATTTGTTCTCATAGTTCATCATTTTCCACCCTCACATCTATGCCTACATTGGCTGTTTTCATTGTGGAGCTTGATGCAAAATATGTATAGAAGACTGTGCCTACGCTTTTGGGTCCTCAATGGTCCCCAATGGGTTTTTCTCCTCCCCTAATTATTCTCTTGCTCTTTATATATATTTTTAAACAACCTTTGGGGTTTTATTTTATTCTACTTGCCAATGCTTTCTTGTACAGTTTCTTAGCTTTCCTATTTTCCTTGTTAAGTTTGTGCTGCACTTTTCATACACTGTCTAGGGATACTACCATATTGAGCCATTGGCATTTACCATAAGCTTCTTTATTTTTTCTTAATGTTAACTGTTATATCCCTTAATATCCATAGTTGTCTGGTCTTAGTTCCACTCTTTTTCTTTATGGGAACATATTTGCCCTATACTCTCACTATTTCCTCCTTGAATGCCTCCCACCATTGACATTTTTTTTTTGCAAGCAGCTGCTCCCAGTCCACTTGAGCAAAATTAGCTATCTCCAGTTTAGAAGTTTTATTCCCAGATTATCCTTTGCCTTTTCCATAAATATCATAAATCTAACTGAGTTCTGGTCACCATCTCTAAAAATTCTTCCATATTGAAACACATTCCTCCTGCAAGAGCTCATTTCTGAATATTAGGTGTGGAACTGCCCCTTTCCTTGTTGAGCTTTCTATGAACTGGCTAAAGTGTTCTCACCCACAAACTTTAAAGTTGTGCCCTGCACACCCAAGATCTAGATCATTAATTTCACAAGACAACCTGTTCCTGTAACTCACCGGTTCTATTTATTATACTCTGTGCATTCACCACATCCAGTGTAACTCTAATTTAGACTTCTCCCAACACCGATTCCACCTATTAATTCACTGTTCCCTATTTTAGTGCTATCTGCCTCTCCCAGTATTTTGTGCTCCCTGTTATGACTTTCAAATATTCTCTTCAGGTTCCTATACCCCTGTTAATTTAGATAAAATCCTTCCCAAAAAAAATGGGCAAAATAACCCACAAGGAATTCAGTTCCAACTCTGTTCAGGTACAACCCATCCAGTTTGTACAGGTGAAATCTTCCCCATTGCCAGTCCCAATGTCACATCTAAAATCCTCCCTCCTGTACCATTTTCCCAGCATCATAAAAGTCTGATTTATCTTCCCATTTAGGGGATATGGCACTGGGAGTAATCTGGAGATTGTGACTTTTAAGGTCCTGCTGGTTAATTTTCTACCAAGGCCGAAATTCTGATTTCAGGGTCACATCCCCCTCCCCATATTTCATCAGTACCAGTGTGGACCACAAGCTCTGGATGTTCCCACTCCTCCAGAAGAATGTCATGCAACTGTTCCATGACATTTATGACCTAAGCATCAGGGAGGCAACAAAGCATCCTGAAGTCACATAGACAGCCACAGAGTTGCTTCTCTGTTTCCATAACTAAAGAATTCCTATCAATATTGCCCTTCCTCTCCTACCGAACAGTTCAGATATCTGTGATGCCATGGGCTTGGTTCTTGCTGCATCTTTCAAGGATATATCATCCTCATTAATATCTAGAATGGAAAACTGGTTAGTGAGTGAGATGTTCGGAAAATGCTGCACTAAGCCATGTTTCCCCTGGACTGCATGGTAGTCATCCATTCCCTGTCTGCCTGTTTGCCCCTAATTTGTTGTGTGACCACCTCGCTGAACATGATATCCATGTAGTTCTCTGTCTTACAGATACACCTCCAGCCACTACTCAAGCTCCAATACCTGAAACTAAAGCTTGAGCTAACCAATGACACTTCCTGCACATGGGCTTATCTAGATCACATGAAGTGTCCACAACATCCCACCTGCCATGGGATGGCATTGTTCTTGGTTGAGCTGCCCTGCCATATGTTAAAATTATTTCTCTTGTTTTAATTTTACTTTTTACTGTTTACTCCAATAGAGATGACTTTTTTTTTTCATTTCTCCAAAACAGATTCTAATTGGTGCTTCATACAATCAGGTACCTGATTGGTACCTCTTGACATTTAGTACTATTTAATTGTCACATTTGTAGTTAATTGGTAGATGTGCGCTAGAAATTAGTTGTTGAAAATATATACTTTTGACTTCAGTTTAATATTCTGATTTTATTTAGCGTAATGTATCTGTATGTGTAAAAATGACATCAGAAATATCTAATAAATCAGGGACTGTCGTAAAATCAGAGCAGTGCAATTTGACCAAGAGAGTCTTTTATGAGTATTCCCATTCGGGTAGATCAGGAGAAAAAGGTGACCAAACTCATGTTCCAAACATAAAATTCACCAGCACTAACACCAGCAGCCAGCTCAAAGCCGACTATTTCCATTTTGCTTCACAAAACTTTGGAGAACCTGAAGCCATGAAAAGTTAGAATTAAATATTTAGATCACAAGTGGAAGTTTATTTCAAGATGCATGATCTTTTTCTCGTACCTTTCTAAGTATAGAAGGATACAAGAAAATCAATGGAAACAAAAATTAATTTTGTTCCGTAATTTTGCTAAATAGATTGCAATAATTTCCTTTGAATGAGACTAATTGACTTTGTTAACCAACAGTCCCATTCCAGCAATGTAAAATATTTGGTTTGTTAAACCCTTTAGGTGTCTGCGTATGGATTTCTGTGGTACGCATATCCCGACTTCTAAAATGACAACAATCATTAACTGGATACCAAGATTGTCTCCTCATTCACCAGCAAGCTTTCCTGCTGAATATAAGAATTCCAGGAGATACGGGATGTGCTGGATGCAGTAACTGTGGCGGCATACGAATCCTTTGCTTCATCCCGTTTACTTATTTACTTCTTTATTAGAGACGGTGTGTGTGAGTTGTAGAAACTTATCTTCTGTTATCTTTGTTTTTGAATGTAATCCTGAAAAACTGATATCGATGACAGTATGTAAAATGCACTGAGACATGACTCCATCAACATTGTGTAATTAGATCAGATACCCACTGCCCTTGATGTGGTTAATTCCTCCATCAGCACGTGTATTTTTTTTAGGTACGTCTGGCTGTGGATTTGCATCTTTCTGAGACCAAAGTTCATCGTAATTCCTTTTGTAACTGTTTAATTTCAAAGGGGTCCTGGAAAACAAGGATTCACTGAGCTGTTATGTATTGTGGGGTGTGCTTATTACCATAGGCTAAATGTTAAACCCCCAGGGACTTGTTTTTCCAAGTTCACTGAAAGGGTGCATGCAGTTTTGAAACCTGTAAATGACAAACTTGTTGTTGATACTATCAGCCTTTGGACTGAAAAACTACGAGATCCACCTAATCGTACACAGATTACTGCCTCAATATCTGTAAAAGAAAATACCACAGATCAAAGCTTTCAGTGGTAAATTTACTTTGCCGAATAATATCACAGAAGCTGAATACAGAGACGGGAGTAACCTAACTTTTATTCGAAAAGCATGGCAGTCTTATTCTGAATATGGTATTCACTAAACGGGCTGCGGAATAGAAATGAAAGTCAATAATGGATTAGACATCCATGATCCGGGCTTCTCCTAAAGTTGAATGTAATTAAATAGTTAGTTGATACAATTGTGAGCACAAAGACTCCGATGATCCGAGTTTTAAAAGGTGTTATCATTCTTGTCCATGATTCAGGGAAGGGTACAAGCCTGACACAAAGTTCAGGCCACCAGCTACATTGCAGCACATTGTCGCACATTGTCAGAGGTATCATCCTTCAGGTGAAAGGTTAAACAGAGACGTTGCCTGCCTCTTTCTGATTTAGCGGAGAGTTATCATTCCTCAGGTACTTTTCAGAGAAAGTCAGGAAACTCACCCGAGGACTTGGTCAAAATGCTGCTCCCAGTCACCATCAGAACTAGAATTAACTGATGTGTCATATGTGTTCCCATTGTAATCACATCTCCAGGTAACTGGTTTTGTGTGAAGCACCGTGGGACACCTCTAAGGGACTAAACAGTGTCAATTCTTCATTTTTGTCATTTCAACCAGGATACTTCAGTTCATCCCAGGAACTCTGCGTTAAGGAGAAATTCAGGCATGGGGCCTTCTCAATGTCAATATCTGAAAGCTGCTGTTGAAAGCAGGTGTATATTGAGGAGAAGTTTTAATTCAATTGTCATACCTCATAAATTTAATAACCCTCTACTAAAAAAATGTTCTGGACTCACATTAATAAAATCAACTTGGACGAGGTAGTGAAGGATTACACTACATTGAAGACATGTCCTTAAATGAAATCACCATTCTGTAGAGAAGAGTAATGTTTAAAACCCATATCTTTGATCTCTTTCTGTGCTGTCTCCTCGTCCATTCGTGGGGCAGTGTGCATCTTTCTACATTAAAGCTATGTTATAAAGACAAATGTTTTTCACTCCAGAATCTGCACACATTATTGACTCTAAAGGACTGCTAGCCCTGCTACCAGCATCACTGGTCCTATGGTATCTGAAATTATCAATAGATTAACTGTAATCCCATAATTTAACTCATTCATTACTTAAAAATGTACAATCTATACACCTCCCCATTAAAGAATTCTGACTAGCCAATGCAAAGTTGCTAATGAATGGATGACGATAGTGCTAATTCTTTGATGCGTGTTTTCTAGCAGGTAGAGTTATTACCTGAAACCCGAGCAACAGATGTATTTTTACTTGGCTGCATGGTAACATTGAATGAAATAGTGCACTTACACTGTCAGGGTAGAGGACAGGCAGGGGTAATAACAGAAGAGGGATCAAGATGACCAGCAATAGCTTCCGGGCTCTCCAGATGTTCCTCAACATCCCGGGGCTGTTTAAACTGCGGGCTTTTTGATGTTGCTGAATGATGGATTCTCTCACTGGAGAGCAGGTTGGGATAAGAGATTGTAGCTTGGCCTCTGACAGAGCTGGGCACCTTCTGGAAGTTTGGATTCTCTCCGAAAACACCTGTCCAGTTCAAGATAGGCGAATTTTCCTAACTCCCTCAAGAGTTTTCTTTAAAAAAGAAACAACAATAGTTCTGCTCTGATTTTCTGCGGGTCCTCAGTGGCTAGTGTTAGTGACAATTTCTTAATGTCTTCTTTCCGAGGGTTGCTCAAAGGCCTTGAGGATGTGTAACTCCCTCCCGTGTGCGAGACGTTGATTTCTTCTGTTCAGTTTCAGAGGGTCAGGTTCGGCCACGGAGCCGGTGCAGACGCTGCGGCGTTTCTTCTTTCCTTTCGTGGGACCTGTTGGGGATTTAGGAGTTCGTTGTTGACTTTCCTTGATTGTATTGGAATGTGCCAGAGTAACTGCAATTCCTTACCCGACTCTCTTTCGCTGCCTGTCCTTTACCCTGTCCCTGTGCCTCTCTCGACCCGTCAAACTTTGCCCCAGAACTTTTAGGGCTTTTTTTCCCCCATGAGAGAAGTGAATTGGAGCCTAGACAGGGTCTGCCCACACGCCGGGAAACTCCGCCAATCACTGAATAACACTCCATTCCCTGCCAATCAAATCGAAGCATTCGACGGCAGGGAACCTCCCATTGAGAGGTGGGCGTGTGTAATACTGACAAGCTCCTCCTGCCATCGCCGAAGACGCCAACTAAGTTTATAATGCTGCCCTGTGTAACCCTGGAACTGCTCACTCCTCACTTGCAACACAGAGAGGAGCTCAGTATGGCTTCTTCTCACTTATCCGCTTTGAAATCTCTGGCAAATTTAAACCAAAGGAGCGTGGGCTATAACCAGTGGCGAAAATGAACTGAGTGGTAAATATTGTTTCAGAGATAGTAGGAACTGCAGATGCTGGAGAAGCTGAGATAACATGGTGTAGAGCTGGATGAACACAGCAGGCCAAGCAGCATCAGAGGAGTAGGAAGGCTGACGTTTCGGGCCTATATCAGGAATAGGCTGGGTCTAAGGCCAAAGGGTGACCCATGAGAGGACTTTAAAAATGAGGGAGTGGACACAGAGAGAATGCCTCCTCTTGTGGACAAGAGCTTAAACTAAAGATAATCATTTTAAGATAACCTCCAAGAAATCCAATAGATCATTCACAATATTCTTTCTTTACCTAAAGATTGCAAAGAATGTGCAAGCTATTATAGCCAGAGTTTGAGCAAATTCTGTAGGTGCCGTTAAGGGGATACCAGACAGGCACGTGAGGGAGACTGGTTTTCGTAGATTTCAGTCCAGATTTACATGTATCTACAGCACATGGAACACAGCAGTTCAAAAAACTCCAGGACCAGATGAAGTGTGTCCCAGGTGATTGAGTGAGGCAAGGGAGGAAATGCAGAGGCACTTACAAAAATATTCAATTCCTGTCTGGTCACAGAAGAGGTGCTGAAAAACTGGAGGTCAGCCAATGTAGTACCTTTATTCAAGAAGGGAGCAAGTGATAACCTAGGAAACTACAGACCGATTAGTCTAACCCTGGTGGTGCAGAAATTATTGGAAGCAATTCTGAGGGACAGAATTAATCTACATTTGGAGAGCAGGAAATAATCAAGAACAGTCAGCATATTTTTTCAAAGAAATGTGTAGATGTTGAGGGCAATGGCTTTGTAGTCTACTTGAACTTCAGCAAGGTTTTTGATAATGCCCCATATGGAGACTGGTAGCAAAGGTAAGAGCCTGTAGGATCCGAGTGGTAGGAAGCAGAATGTGATGGTTGAGGGGTGTTTTTCCAACTGGAATTCTGTATTCAGTCGGGTCCCACAGGTGTCAGTGTTGGGGCCCTTGATGTCTGTGCTTTATATATATGATTTATATAACTGAATGTAGGAGGGTTGATCAGTAAGATTGCAGATAATACACAGATTGGTGGCGTGGTAAATAGTGAGGAGAATATCCTTAGACTGCAAAGAGGATATAGATGGGCTGATCATTGGCAAATGGAAATAAATCCTGATAAATGTGAGGTGATGCACTTGGGCAGGTCGAACAATGTGAAGGAATACATTGTGAACAGTCGGACCCTGAGACAACCAAGTATCAGAAGGATCAGTCCTTTAAGGTAGTGGTCAAGTAGATAAAGTGGTTAAGAAGGCATAATGAGTACTTGCCTTTATTAGTCAAGGCATAGATTTTAAGAGCAGGGAGGTTATGCTGGAACTATAAAAATCATTGGTTAGGCCACAGTGAGAATATTGTTTGCAGCTCCAGAATCCACATTACAAGAAGGATGTACTAGCACTGGAGAGGGTGCAGAGCAGATTAACTGGAGTGTTGCCTGGAGAGTTTCAGTTATAAAGAGAGATTGGACAGACTGGGGTTGTTTTCCTTACAGCAAAAGAAATTGAGAGAGCACATAATTGAGATGTATAAAAGTATGAGGGGCACAGATAGCATAGACAGGAAGAAACAATTCCTTTGATGGAGAGATAAATGACAAGGGAGCACACATTTGAGGTAAGGGCAGAAGGTTTAGAGAGAATGTGAGGCAAAACCTTTTCATCCAGAGGGTGGTGGGAATCTGGAACTCATTGTCTGTAAAGATGGTAGAGGCTGAAACCCTCACAATTTTTAAGAAGTATTTAGATGTGCATTTGTGATGCCAAGGCACACAAAGCTGTGAGTGAAGTGCTGGAAAATGGGAGTAGAATAATTAGGGGATCATTTTCAACCAATGTGCACACAATGGGCTGAAGGATCTTTTTCTGTGCTGTAGATCCCTGTGGCTCTATAAGACAGCTCACCACCACCTTCTCAAGGCCAACTAGGGAATGGGTAATAATTGCTGGCCAGCAAGCAACGCCCACCTCCCATGAATGAATAAAACAAGATTCCCATACCAGCTGAGATTAGCAATGAAGGTCTCACCTTCTCAACCTCTCCCCTCACCTGAGGCATGGTGATCCTCAGATTATACCACCACCAGTCATCTCTCACTAATGAGAGAGTAGTCTATGGTCCAGCAGGACTATGGTGACTTTACTTACTAAAATAAATGAAGAAACCTAGAAGAAAGTTCAAATAGAGCATATGTACAGACGTGGACTAAATGGGCTGGTTGGCCTGTTTCTGTATCCCAAGCCAGACAGATGGTAATGTAACAACTATCCATCCCATCAGCATGAAACATTGCCTAAATCATAAACTGCATAAACAGACAAGAAGACTGGTTCCTGATTTTCACAAAGTACACAAAACTAACACTGAAGTATACTCAATTGTAATAGATATAAACAAAGCAGGAATTATTAATTCACAATAAGCCGTGAGCTATTCACTATAAATCAAAAAATGTAGCAGGGTTATTTGTAAAAGTCAACTTAGTGACAGCTCCTTACAGGAAGTGTAAATTAAAATTGATGAACTAAAATCTTACTAAGGCTGGTCTTTGGTTGGACAGTTTTAAATTTGCGATCTATCAAAAACCTGTTACCATTGAGCAATCCAGTTTGTTGGAGAGTTGGTCTGAGCAGAATCCTATTGAAAGTTGTTTAGTGCTCAAAAGGGGGACAAGCAGCATGCACTCATCTCATCTTGTATGCTACAAGCAGCTGACTTTAACTTAAAGGAATTGGTACTCAGAGCAAGAAAGCTGCTGCTGGCTGCCTGTACTGTCTGTGGCTGCATGTCTGGGCTGGACAAATTCAACACCAGCAAAGAGATAGAACTCATAAGTTCACTGATGCAGAGCTGAAGTTCTTAGTAATGGAGGATTACAGGAGTGAAACAGTGATTCCATGGATGGGTGGGGATGCAGAAGTATCTCAAGGACCATCCTCAGAAGGGAATAAAAAGCAGATGATCAGAGAGGTCAATTGCTAGAGTCTACATCTGTGAAGCAGTGCTGCAAGAAATTCAATGAACTCACATGCATGGTTAAGATCAGAGAATGCATCTTCACAAGACCTCTCCTACCAGTTGAGCTAAAAAGCTTTCATATTTCTTAATACATGACTCCCCCATCACTCATCCATTAACGGTCAATAGCATTGAGAACTCAGGCCTAAAATCCAGCTGGTGAACCTTACTCACACATACGTTCCATTACTGCCAGCCCTATACACAGCTCCTGCTCCTTCCATGTGCCGCCAGCTATTCAGTTGTGGAAGGGGCACCATCCAAACATAATTGTTATAAACCATTAGTAAAGTGTGCTGATTCTTAAGCCCCACTACTCCTGGGGTCACCACTGAAGTTAATGATTTAATCAAAGTACAAAAGTCCCAGTTAATTTGTCTGATGAAATCAGGTTAATGGAAAACACTGACCACGTTCCCACATTTAACATGAACTACTTTTTTTTACGAATAAATAAGTTCTAGGTGAACAAAACACAGAATTACCAAAATACAACCTCTAGTTGAAACTCTAACCCACATTTAAACCCCTAAACACATATGCAAACAAAATAAAATAAATGGTTTGTGTGTGATGGGGTAAGAACTGGGGAACACAGTTCAATAGAACCAGTCCACAGCATTTGATAAAATGTTCTTTTTGCTTCCCAAGCCTTTCAGTTCTTTGATCCCATTTCTTCAGGTTCTTTTACTTCTTCACAGGAGGCACATGGCGATAGGTACACTAATTACAAAGTTGCTTAGTTACTGGTTAAAAGCAACAGCTTACCGCAGTTGCTGGGAGAAAAAAAAATAGCTTTCTTCAGAAACAAAAACAGAACTTGCTGGAAAAGCTGAGCAGGTCTGGCAGCATCTGTGGAGCGAAATCAGAGTTAATGTTTCGAATCCAGTGACCCTTCCTCAGAACTGATGGTATCTCAGAAAAAGGTGTTTTTTATGTAGAAGATACGGTGGGGGAGGGGATCAAGAGTAAACGATAGGTGGAAATAGAGCCCAAAGAGAAAGAAGAATGGTTGGACAGACAAATGTGTGGATAATGATCAGACTTGGCAGAATGAATAGCTAATAATGGGACAATTAGTGGGTAACAATGGGTTGTGTGTGATAGCAGACCATGTAATAACAAGATCTGGTGTGTGCAGATTGGGGTGAGGATATGGGAGAAGGTGCCTCAAGCTCGAAAATTGTTGAACTCAATATTGAATCCAGAAGGCTGTAGAGTTCCTAAGTGGAAAATGAGGTGCTGTTTTTCCACCTTGTGCTGAGCTGTGCTGGAACACTGCAGCAAGCCTGAGACAGAAATGTTGGCCAGGGAACAAAGTGGTGAGTTACTTTCTTCAAATTTCAAGTACTTCTACTGCAGAGAGATAGAGACACAGAACCTGCTCTTCTAGCAGTCAGGGGGCTTCTCACCCTCTGTTGTAGACAAACATGTTGTTTATCTGGCCAGGAGCTAATCAAAGAGCTGTTGTCATGCTGCTGACCTCTGGCATCCACAACTGGTCACTATGCACAAACCAATCAGCACTCTGTTGCTGGCTGAACCTCACTTGGCACTCATTACCC